GGAAAAAATGATAAAAATCAAGAAGAAAGAGGAAAAAAAAAAACATTTTTCGACTTTCACTTTTTAATTTTGAATCGAAAGAGGCGTCGAAAAAACAGTAGAGAAATTAAATATTTATTTGAAAACTGCCATCTTTCTATTTCTATTGGATAATATTTTTAAAAATAATATTAATAAAAGTACAAATATTAAAAAAAAAAATATATTCGATTTTAAAATACTTAAAAATTCCACGTATACCGAATACATTATTTTTAATTAATTATTATTTTTTGCTGCTTACATCGATTACTATTACTGTTATATTAGTAGAGACCACCATATTGCAATCTTAGTGTGATTACAGAATCAATTATTACCGAACACTTTGCTACTTGGAGTATTTGGTCGAGTTCTGATAGAGTTTGCAATGGATTGTGTCCGTTTATCTATCTGTAATGATAGAATAGAATGATCTTTACAAAATAAAACGTTCCGAATGTATCAATAACTCAACAACAAAAAAGTTATTTAATGGTTTATCCGTGATCATAGTCCGAATTTGATAGGAACATGAGAAAATTCAAAGCATTTAATAAATAATAAACATGTTTTTGAAAAAAAAAAATATGAAATTTTAATAGATATTAGCGTGATTTGAAACAATTGTTATGATAGCTACAGCTCAAATTAACAGGTTATGCATGTTTTGCGACTAGATGTTTCTCTGGCACAGAATTCAGATCATAACATGATATGCACGATTGTAATTAAAAGAAAAATCACGTGATTTCGGGTAGTGCGTGACTGAAGTACACTAGGGAATAAAATCAGAAATGATCATAATAATCATTAATTAAATTTGTTTATTAGAAAATGTATAATTATACTTCATGACAAAATTGCCATCTTGAAGCTGAAAACTTAAATTCTCGTTATAAACATTTCGTTTATGATTTCTTATCGCGCACATTAATATTAATGTAAAAATGATTTAAAAATAAATAACTTTTCGTATTAAAGGTAATTTCTGCAGTCTAGATGTATTTATCATTAATCACGCTCTTCATAATAGTTTTTGTTTATTAAACGATTCTTATTAATTTTACAGATATTAATATGAGGATTTTGGACTAATGCTTATAAATCAACATACCAATGATCTCTATTAATGCATCCTATTAATATTCATGATCCTTAAAAGACTAATTGAGACTATTAATACGATCTCATTGTTATTTTATAAGAACTGTATCCAGAAAAAACTACTCATTTAAATTTTTTCTGTAATAATACATTTGTAAAGAAAATTTATTCGAATTTTAAAGAATTTCCTGTGGAATATGTTGGATAAATTATAAATGAATTTGAATTTATCTTCCTTAAGCGTGTCGGGGTAATTTTAAATAGGATGCTTATTTAGTTCATGTAATCTAGCTTAAATTTTAATTAAAATGGTGGTGGTTCTAGTTTAACTGCGGTTAACCTACAGTTGAGCCACGAGTAAGATGGCCATTTGCTCTCTTCCTCTCGGAGATGTTTGTTATCAATATTTAGATACTTCGCAGGGAGTACACGTCACTTGAACCACATCGTAGTGACATCTAGTAACAAACGGACAGAAGAGATTTGAACTCAGGATAACTACAGATAAATATTACTTGCCGAAGTAACTAACGCCGCAGTACGACTATTTATACTTAATCATATAGCATCAGTAAGATGAAAAGTTGTTCTTCTATTGCATGTTTGATGATATATGATGAAAGATATCAGCGCTACATCCATCCCGTGATTAAATATGAACAAAGGTAAGGAATGTGTGAAAGAAAGAAAGAAGCAACCGTTGGTTTCACATGTTAGGTTTGTCAACGATTTGATATGAAAATAGATGACGAGATGGAATCGGAATAATTTGGATATTAGCTTCCTACTTAAATAATAATCAGAAATATTCATTATTAATTCCTGTTGTGAAGACGTAATTTGTTAATGTAAGTCGGTATTGTTCAGGTACTGCCAGGCTAAAGGTAAAAGTAGTTTCTATTTAAAAGCCTTTCCGGGATTATGGGAACAGGATATGCTCAGTCACGCTGATACTCCAACCAATGATTTCTAGGAGGTAGTGCGATTGGTGTCCTTCTCCACCCGCCTTTATACCCTTGAAAGACTAGATGTCCTTTGAAATTGAAGTTAGCTATGATTCTACAATCATTTACGATAGAAAAGTTTGGAGTTAAATTCTTATAAGAACTTACTCGTCGACGAAATGTTCCAATTTGCTAAACGTGTAAGAATTATTAATTTTTATAATTTAAAATTGCGTTTTTATACATACAATTCTCCTTATATCATATAATAATTTTATATAGTTTTATAAAAATTTATTAGATATTTTACATTTGGTTTCGTAATTTAAAAATTTTTTCAATTAAAATATATTATATGAAGCAATTTTATTCAAAAACTTCATGACAAACTAATGATTTTCCGATAATTTTAGTGTGCGTATAGGTATATGTATTTTATATTTACAAATATTCTTATATTTTCGACACGCAAAAAAACTTTAAAAAATTTTAAAAGCTGTTGTTGATATGTTTAATATAAAAGCTAATGTATAAACACATTTTATTATAAGCTAGTTTTTTTGTTAGAAATTGTTTTAAAATAGATCAGAATAGAGCAAGGACATCGAGTAAAATTTCATATAGTCTAGACAGAAAAGAATTTTTCGTGTAAGGAATTAAGATCATAAACAAATACTTTACTTAATAATGTTCTAAATTGAATAATTTAACTTGTAACGAGAAGGCAATGATTATCTCTCGCAAGCAATAAGATAATAATTATTAAAGGGATTACATCTTTGATTTATATCCTCTCTCACTATAAATGCGGTTTGATTCTATCGGAATAATAACTTACCAGATGACAGTTTTCTGAAAGTTGTAATGAGATATTTTGATTAAAAGAATAAATTTTAGACTTTATGTTGTGTACGAGTGTATTCATTATATTTAAATCTCAGCATAACTAGAAGATGTTCAGTAGTTCCTCTTCGGTTCTCTTTCGCTATTGTTTAGCAACTATTTGACCATTTTCACATCGTTAACAAAAATTATGAGAGCAGAAGATTATTATCCTTTGAACAGTTATTTAAACATGATATATTCGGTGATTATAAATTTAAAGCAAATTTACTTTAATTTAATAATGTTTGCATCCAGAAATTTCGGCCTTTCACCCATCTGCAAATTTTCTTGTAAGGATCATCGTAATTACAGTTTTTGTCATGCGATAATAATTTCTTTACAATTTATTTAAATATGTTTTAATTTATGGAATCTAAAAAAAAAAAAATTCGTGACAAACGATATGTATAAAAAGAAAAAAAAAAGTATTATCTAAATCTTATTTAACGAGCGTAGACTCGAAAATAGGCGTTGGTCTACTCAAATAGCTACCCAAGCAGATAAGATAAATTCGATTTTAAATTATTTTATGTAGTTTCGTTACCTAACAGCCTCGTCATTTCATAATTTATGTTTCCCTATAAAGTGTTAAGTTATTGATCAGTATAATAAATCATTTTGTTTAGAATAGAAATTTAAAATATGCGGTCCGATCGCAACAATCAGCATTACAAATTTACGTGTGTTTATATCATCGTATATTAGAAAATATAGACATTTTAAACTTTTTTTTTTTTTCAAAATGATAATTCATTTTTTTGCGGTTGCTTCTTCTATTCTTAAATTTTCTACAAAGGAGCGTTATTCTTTCCATCATATTTAGTATGATGGAATAATATGGGGCAAAGGATGGTTTCTAGCGAGACTAAGACAGACTCTTTCTCATTCTGAGTTCGGAACATAACCTTTCTTTATGGACTATTCCAGCATAAGTCTTACGTTGCGGACAATAACCGCCTTTCTTTTTTTTCCACTTCTTTTTTCGTTAAAAAACCGAATTCTGTATCATTTTCTTCTTCGTTTTCCTCAAACTTTCTCTAAATATTCTGTTTAAAGCGATATTTTTTTTCTTCGTCGCATCTGATTAAACGAATTATTCAGCGTAATTATTCAAAGAGAATTTTATTTACTCCATGAGTTTTATTATGAATCATAATGAGTCATTCTGCCGTTAAAAAGAAAATAATAATAATAATAATAAAATAAAAATATTCATCTTTCAATTTAATACGACCCACTTCATTGCAATGGTTGGTTCTTTGAGTAGAACGATATTAAGTTTCCTATAAAAATAACACATACTTTAAGTGTACAGTTCGCCCCTGTTTTGTTTATTCTAACATTTAGCGTTTTTACTTAATAATCGCAACTAATTTATTTTTGAAAATGTATATTTAGAAATCCTCTTCGGGTTTTATTCTTCAAAAAATTAATAGATTGCCCACATCCATTTCCTCATTTACTGAAAAGGATAAATATTTATTTCTTTTCCCTTTTAAGTCGAGATAATGAATTGGGAGGCGAAAACACGGCATTTTTTCCCCCGGATATCACCTTTTTCTATTGGTTTTCCCCTTCTCCAAACATAAATTCCCTAAGTAGGGAGAATCTCACTAATTAGTCATTTAAGTCCGGAAAAGTAATTTAACTTTATTTACACAAATTAATTATGCACGTTAATTATTTTATTTAAAAAATATTTTAAATTTTGTTTATAATAAAAAATTAATGTTTTTTTTTGAAAAAAAATCCCTTTACTTTTATTATTATTATTTTTTATTTTTTTTTTAAATAACGGAGTTAAGAAAGTATTTTCTTTAAATAATCAAAGTATGGCTTACTCAAGACGAAATCCATTAGATTTATCTATATAAACTAGAGGCGTATTATATTTACCTCATATCCAGAAAATTCCCTTTCAGGAAAATATAATAAAACATGACGATGGGGAATATTCCCTGATCCAACCCAAACTCGAATGAACTCTAACCGGGGTGAACGTCGACTGACGTACGAGCCAGGCTATTCCGAGATTAATACACTCGCCCTCCTCTCGTCTTTTAGTAGCGCCCACTTCTCTGCATCGACCGTGGCCGCACTTTACTTACTATTACGTGGAAACGTCGTTGCGATGTGTTTCGATGAGTAAAAAGTAATCGAAAACGTTATCTATCTGAATAATATCGTTAACATCCTGTTACCGGAACCGGAACCATTGGTGACGTCATATGGGGTGGCTTGGTTGTCGGTTGAGGTTCAAAGGCCAGTTCCGAGCTGCCGTGGCTGACGTTCGGAGATGCTTGCTTGGTAAGTGAGTTTTAAGAGTGGCTTTTAACTTTTATAAATACTCGGAAATACGCGTAAATTAAACGAGAAAGTATTGGGAAGGACGTGGTTATATTATTTGGTCTAAGGAAGGATGGGTTATGCCGGGCCTCGAACCCGATTGTTGTTTCAGGACAAATGCTTTTGATCGTTTGACTGCGATATACCACGTGACATTGATTTTACTTTCAAATTTTTACAGAATTTTCATAAGAAGTATTTTACATCATTAAATGGTGTATTAACCTTAGATCTTTACTTTTTTTTATATCACTTCACCGACACGTTTCTATCCTGTAAATTGGATTTTAAATGATAATAGACGTTAAATGAAAGTTGAGTTTCGAGTGAGAAAAGATCTTTTTATGATATTAAAATGATCGAGTTATAGATTCATTGACCAGTATAAACTATAAATGACTTTAAGTTCACAATTTTCCGAAATGGAGATTCGTTGATGAAAATGGAGCATTTCATTTCTTTTTGTTTAAAGCAATTTTCTCTTCAAAATTTACTTCAAAGTTTAATAGGAATTTTTCTTCTTTTTGTAATTCTTTATATATATTATTTTCGCTTTATAAATGCTGTTTATCATAATTCCGTTGTTAAATTCTAGAGATATTCGTTAAAATTTAATAATCCTGTTTTTATTGCTTTAATATACTTAAGATATATCTAATATATATAACTTATGTACTGAACAGTGATGAGAATATTGAACATAAAATGTATTTCATAAATATATTTTTTTAATTAAGAAATAATTTATTGTGTATTGAAATTTTATTAATTTTACTATAGTTTTATAATTTTCATTTTCATAAAATAATAATAATAATAATAAAGCAAAAGCTTTTCTTCAATCCAATTATAACATTGGACATGAAAATGCTTTTAAATAATTATATATTTTAAAGGAATTGAATTTTCAAAACCAGTAATTGATTTAATTAAGTAATTATGAATGGAAATAATTAAAATTATATTAATTTAATCAAACATTGACCTCCCTGTTAGAGATGTTTTTGTTTAAAACAAAATATAGTTTTAAATATAAAAACAAAAATAAAATGTATTAGTTTGTTTTAAAGTTGAATATAAATATAATGTTACCATTTGAATATATCTATATCTTATTACATATTTTGCAATTTTTTGTCGGTTTAATCATTAACAATTTCATAAGAGTGTATTAGACTATTTATTCTATATTAAAGTATAATGCCAAATGATAATTTCAAGATTATTCAGTAAATTTTTAAATTTGATATTTCTAAAGTGAAATAATAACCACAAGAAACTAAAGGCATTATTTAATAAATAATTCAATAAACTGAAATTGAAAAAAAAGTACTTTACTAAAAGAGTTTTTGTTTTCTGTTTCATTTCATTTAAGGATTTTATTCTTAATGTAAATGACTTCACAATCTAAAGTATTTCAAATTATAATGCTATATTTTTAAAAAGATTGCATTTTCAAATAGTAGCAAAATACTATAATAATTTACTGTTGTTTTTATAAGTAGATTCTTGCTATAATTGCAAAATTTTATAAAATTATAATAAAGTAATTCTCTAAACCACACAGTAGTATTATTGGAAAGAATATTTTGTTAGATTAGTATCAAAGAAGGTACACGTAATCTGCTTTATTTTCAAAGTATTGTACGTTACTGGTACTTCATTTATGTTATGTATTTTAAAATATCTGAGGTATAAATGAATTGTATTTAATTTAATTTAAAATACATGCTTCTAATTAACAAAATTTGGATATTTTAAAATATGAAATTCTCTGTGAATACAAATCATAAATATAATAATTGATACTCATTATACATGGAATCATTTCAATTCTAATTTGGTATCCCTTATTTATATAAACATACACAATTAATAATATCATTGGAGCATAAAGATTAACAATTTGCTTGATATATTGCATCATCATTGTAATGCGATTATTCATAAATCATGAAATTTACTGAGTGTAATTTATTAAGAGTATTAATACTTAATTGTATAATATTGAATATCTATTATTTAAAGAAAATTGCCATAATTACTTAATTACATCTTTTATTTGAAATTCAATTTTGTTGTAGGAAATGTGTATACACTAGGCCTAATTGTTAACGTATCAAGAACAAAGATTAGAAGTATTTTATGTAATATATTTAAATATCAATACTTTTATGTCTACAATTTATTACTTCAGAATTATTATTATTATTATTATTATAATGACCTATGGTAAATTAATTTTAAATATAAATGGATATACTTAAACATATTTGGATGAAAGTTTAATGCAATATCATAAAAAGATATTGTAGATGTGTAAAATTGGATTTTTTAAAACTTTATATCTTTTGTAATTACATATTAAAATATTTATTCTTTTATATATAGGTATTATTATTAAATTATTCAAATTAGCTCTTATTAAAAATAAAGTTGGTTATGATTGAATATTTAATTGTATAGTTTTGTAAGGAATGTCATTTACTTTTAACGTTTTTGTTTGAACAATATACATTGTGATGTGTTCTAGTTATTGATTCCACAGCTTTAGAGATTGTCTTAGTCTAACTGACGATAATTAACATTGGAATTTTCAAAGATGGCATTGAATTCATTTATCTATCTGAAGACAATTTTAAACATTACTTTGAATTAATTGCAAATGAAAGTCTCTTTCTAAATTGTTAAAAAATAAAAAATATCAGTTTGTAATTTATGTTCATTTTAATTATAGGAAAACTTCTTAACAATTTTAATGATGCCTTTAAATTAAGATTATTTTTCATTTAAATTTCTATTCATTTTTATATAGGGTAGTATTTTATTTTTCAAATGCTTTTTTTATTTAAAAGTGTGAAGATTTTATATGTATATAATAGTTAGTTAGTAAAATAAAATAAAAACAGATTTGAAATAATAAATAAATTAATAATTAATTTATTAATTTAATGACTAAAAAAACAAGTTGTGTATGAATGACTTTTCACTTATTTGAAATGTTCTAGTAGCATAATATTTTGTAGACATGTTATAGTTCTGTTTTTTCCTCCTCCTGTTTCAGATCCTTATATATAGTTTTGTTTTTAATTTTCTTAAAAAAAAAAAGGTTTTCTATCAATCTCTGAATCATTACTTTTCATGCTGGTATTGAAATGCAGTGTCATTTGTACGCATTTGGTTGTAAAGAATTCAATTTGTTCAATGTAATGTTGTTAGAATTGTTTAAAGTTTCTTTGAGACAACTGAATGTTTGAATAATACATAACGTCATGTCCAAAGTTGTGCACATAACTCAGCATTCTCCTTCCCCATATCCAAAATCCATTTAAAGTATTTGGAAGAAACTTATATTACAATTGGTGAAACTATTTGATAGTTGCAGTGAAGAAGGTGAATGCAGTAATTTATATCTTCAAATCTTGCTTGATGTAAAAAATTATCTACATTTCATATTTTTAATCTTATTAAATAATTTATAGATAACTGTTAAAATTATTAAGTTTTTCCTGTCTTTTAAACGAATAAAAATACATGAGTTGATAATATAATGTATTTTTTTTATAAGATATTTTGAATTTTATATTTGGTAATATTTGTTATTTTAAGGTTTAGTTTAGTTTTTAACAGTTAATGAATAAGTTTATATATTCCAAATAAAAATATATAATATTGTGTTCTGTTTTAGATTAGAGCTGGACTCTGAATCAAAATTCTTTTATGAAGTGTGCAACTTAAACATTGGAGTACTGGAATGTTAACAGCCATGTATCACTGTAATATGTTTTGGTTTGGACTGAGTGTTGTGATGTCCTTTTTTGGAAACTCATATGAACAGCATTCAGAACATTTAGTTGTGGCTCATGATGTATATCCTGGATACAGCATAAAGAAGTTAATAAATAGGGGTCAGTCATTTAGTCTTATCAATAATGAATTTTCAAATTATTTTACCATATTCAGTGATGGTGTTCTGGTTCCAACAGCTAGTATAGCTCATTTTATAGATTCCCCATTTACTTTGATTGTTAGAGAAGATTATCCTAACAGAACTGTAGAAAAAAATTTAATCATTCATGTAATGGAAAAAGACAAGATGTTAAAATTTATAAAGGATACATATTTAGGAAGTGTAACAGAGAATGAACCAAAAGGTTCTGAAGTAGAAGGTTTGGATTTATTTTTTGCAACAACTGATCCAAAGGATCAAGTAAAATATCAGTTTATAGATGGAAATGAAGATAATTCATTTTCGATCAGGCAACAATCAGCAAATGATACAAATCTCATTATATATACAAATAATTCATTGGATCGTGAAACTAGAGAGGAATACAATCTGACTTTAGAAGCATCTAATAGTAAAGGTGATAGTGCAAAGACTTTCATTAGGATAAAAGTTGAGGATGTAAATGATAATCCTCCTCATTTATTAAAGAATAGTTATAAATTCCAAATACCAGATTCTACAGAGCTACACAAAGTTATTGGAAAGATAATTGCAGTGGATGCTGATGGTGATCAACCTGTATATCATTTTTCAAAAAAGCATTCGGTGTTTACTATTATTCCAAAAACAGGACAGATATTATTATTGGAAAAACCACAGCTGAAAACTTACAAATTCCTAGTGGAAGCTCACGATAATCGTAAACCACGTTTAACAAGTAATCCTGTTCCAGTTATAATTGAAGTATACAGCCATAAGAAAGTCAACGAAAATACAACAGAAAATCAAGTTATATTAGTGCGTAGTAAAAGATCGGGTAGACCTACAAAGACTTATGAGTATAAAGAAACAGATGGAAGTATCAAGGGTAAAATAATGTTTCATTTAGAGAAACGAAATAACGAAGAAACATTTAAATTAGAAGGTATAAATCGTTGGATAGACATTGAGGAAAATGGAAGTGTTAAAGTAAAGGAACCTTGGGACTACGAACAGTTAGAAAAAGAAAAAACTATAGATTTTTGGGTTTTAATAGGCATTCCAGGATTTCAAGGTAAGTTTACATTTATTAATTAAAATAGTAATCTTAAACAGCATATTTTAATCAATCCCATACAATCCCCTCTTTCTTGAGAATTTCTTAATCGACTTACAGTAGTTATTTATAGCAACAACGTTTTTTCTTTGTTTTTTATTGTTTAACCATAAAAAAATACAATGAATTAAATACTACCTTACTCAAGTTTAATTTTACACACAGTTCAAATTACATAATTCTATTCTTTATTCTAAGCGTATTTTGTCATGAGATAAAAATAATTTCAGACTTGAAACACGTATTAACTGTAATTCACAAAAATAATTTCCTAACGTTTTTATTTCTACAAAAACGAAGGGAGTTTGTGAACAAAAACTATTTTTCATCTGTTGTGCTGTTTCTTCTAAAACCAGTTCGCTGACCAACCAATTGGAAGATGGCCGTGTGTAAGAAACCGGTTTGAGTTAAAAACAGCACAACGGTTGTCTACTTTGCCTGTCACTGCGATTAGAAAGACTTTCCACATAAATATTCTGTGTCTGGATTAATCGTTCAGACTGTTTACTTTATTTTTTGGCTAAAATCCAAGAGTTATTGTCAGTTTATGAAATTATTTGTATATTTTTCATTCGATAATTTATGTTTAATTTAAATTTAGATTATTTATCTTTCCTCTTTACTGTTTGATAATGTGTGTTCGTATGAGTATGCAGGTATTCTAAACTCCAGAAGCGGACACATCTTTTTGTAATTCTTTTACTAGTTTTGCGTGCACCTAGACTCTTAACGATTTAAACCATCACTCTTAAGACCGAAAATCAATATAAAAAATACACACTGTTTGTTCTCTCTTTTTTTTTTTATTTTCATCGCGGAATGACTTTCTTGTTTGATGACATTCTTAGTTTGTGGCATTCATTAATTATAATGTAAAGGTTTATTTAATCTCCCAAAATAATCTTTAAGCGAACGAATAATATTTTGTAAACTCCGAGAAATAAAATTCAGAATATATTTTGAATGTTAATTAAAAATAATAATAGTAAAAATTAATAGGTTGTACTTGTTAATGCATAATTTTCGTCGGTAAAAGTTATAAAAATGTAAGGCACACAATTATGACAAATAATAGACAACTGCGTGCGTATGCAGCGGAATACTAAATTAGGGAAATCATAATTCAGTCGTCATCGAAGTGATGTTCACTATTTTCAATAAGTAGGTTAAATAAGAGCTTTTGTTTTATTGGGCGAAAGTCGTGGTTGGCAGTCTGACTTATTCAATTATCGATGATTGTAAGCATTACTATAGTCGGAGTTGCGAGTGGTACGGCAAGATTTGCCATCGGACCGTACCTATCCCCTCGGCCTGGCTGTGTAAAGAGCATATTCATCAGGTAACAGGCCAAGCGGCACATAACCTGACGCTAGAGTAGTGCCATCGTCTGCAACCTCGAACCATCAATCTCCTTTCTTTTCGTACTAGGTTGCAGAAGAGCACGTACCGTTTTGCAGTACCGTGTCGTAGTGAAAAGAAATTTTAGTACGTTTAAATGACGCAAAGTGAAATTAAAGGATTTTACATTTCCATAATAGAGATCACGGTTTTATATAATTAGTTCTTTGTCGTTCCGTTATATTAATGTAAATTTATAAACTGTTTAATTCTTTTTTGTTAGTCTATCGCCTTTAATCCAGGACAAAGAATGACACTGTTCTCGGAATTATGTCTCTCCCACACACGAAACCAGACACTGGATTGTAGAAGAGTAGTTCCTTATGACGTCTGTCTTCCGGGACCGTCTGGGGGTGACATCAGCCGGATTAACGTCCCACCTCTGAAATCTACCATTTAGTCGGTACATTTTATCGAAATATTCGGTATTGACGGCACTCCTTTCCTGTTTACGCAAGAATTTGGCGTTGTTAAGCAGTGAGTCATCGAATAACTCGTCATCAGACAAAAGTCCATTCACTTTGATCAACGTCCTCAACACGATTGGTTGTTAAAGGAGAGCATTCTTCCTTCTCCCCGTTTAGTCTAGTGAGCGCAGGCGCAACTGGGGAATTCGCTGAGAAATTCAGCTGCCTCCGCTAATTGACCAACGGGTAGATGAAAACACTCTCCCTCCGAACAAAATAGACATTAAGTGCTCTAATAATATGTCATCGTTTTTATAGCTATTTTGTTGAAAAGACGAATTTCTAAACCGTTTGTCTTACCGTAATTTATTAAGGAATGTGAATCTCGCAATTGCATTTATAGTAGAAGAGTCATTTAACGTACGATACAATGCAACTTCCTTCGTTCGCCTTGGATGGCGATAAAACCTTCGAATCTCCGTCGACATAGATTGTAAGTCATCTAGACGCTATTAAGCTTATCAAGGTGCAGTTGCTGGAGGGCCTTCTAAGTTCGACTATCGTAGTTTGCTGTAAGAAGATATCGAAATGTTTGTTGTTTTTTATATCTCCGGGCATAGTTTCTGCAGCTCTTATTCCTTCATTTGTAGAAGTTTGTTGCGTAACAAATAAAAAAATAATAATCTTTTTTCTTATTTTAATTGAACTCAAAAATATGATCCGACTTGGGACAGAATCCTATCTAGTTGCGAGCTAATTGATGTACAAATCAGGTTTGTAGAGTGCATCAGTTTAGTAGTATCAACGGTACTGTATCTGTTTAACCACGTTTATCCCTTTTCGTCGCCTGCCTTTACGTTAGCTAAATGTTGTAAGCCGGGATCAATCATTCTCTTAAGCCTCCAGATGCTACTCTATGCGTTACAATTGTAGACAGAATGGTTTGGGAAAAGACAAGTCTGTTTTAAACTGATTGCTCCACTAAGGAAAAATACAGAGAATTTGTATTCCGTTTTCTCTTCTATAAAATAATTTTTTTTTGGTGTTTGTTTGACATAATTGAAAGAACGTAGTCATAATAAATTATTTATCCTGACAATATAATTATATCAACTGCCTCAATTGGTTTAAATTCTTTCTTTTGAGATACTAAGATACACGTAACATAAAATATAAAAGGAAGTTCAAGTAGCGAAATGTACATTGTAATGTTTACAAAAATTTTTGCTTTGGCAAGAGTTCAAGAATTTAATGTATTTAAATGGAAATTGTGTTAGAAAGCAACTTTCTTGTATTCTTTCATAATATACTGCTATGTATAATACAAGAACTCCACATCAGCGTAATGTAAAAAAATTGTCCCTAAAGTTTTATTTTACATAAGAACAATTATTAAAATAACAACGTGTATATACTGTATAACTTTAAAATTAAATTTTATTTATTCAGAATTAATATAAAAATATTTTCCTAAAATTTATCTTAAGTATAAATAGTTTGTAGTGAGGAATGCAAAATATTTTTCTGCTCTGCTTGTCACCTGTAAACAAAGTACAAAGAAATTAACTCTGACTTAAATTAATGTTTACATATAAAATGCGCTAATTAATGTCAACAGTTATTAATTGATAGGATTATTATTGTTCTGTAAATATCCTATCAATTGATAATTATTACTAATTGATGTTTATAGAATAGTTATAATATTGTTATACGTAGTGTATTTATATTTAAACATTTTTAATAATACATTTTTCATTTTTTTAAGTATGAATTGTCTTAATGAATTTAGCAGAAAATATATTTCCCGTTTACTTAAGTTATATCCACAGTAAAATATAAATTTGTTTAATAAAACTTCTCGTATAAATTTTCTAATTTATGTACAGTACAGTACACTAAATATTCACAAAGCTGTATATATGTTCATAATATCACACTAGCCTTAGAAATGTAAAGTAAAAATGCTTAAATATCAGTCAGTCAGTTATTGTAATATACAGAGGAAAGAATAACATGTTTCTTCTAATTCATATACTTTAATGTATATTTTATTATAGTAGCTGTTTTAGTAAAATAAAATATTGATAGTGTTTGTTTTCAGTTGGGAATTATGAAAGATCTTTACTCTGAAATTGGTTTATATACTATTTTATATGAGAATTTTGTGTAGATTAGAAATGAATGTAATCTGTAGAGACTTTTCTCTTGTGAATAAATTATTTCGAATAGATCTATGTAATATATTGGAAGGAAAACGATATCAAAAATCACTTCAACGGAAAATATAAATTTAAAGAAATATTGTTTCATTTCTTCAGCTATAATATAAATGATAAAAGTATCTCGTTTTATTTTGTTGCTAGAATGTTCGAATAATAAAGTATCGAAAAAGTTGAATTGCTGAAAGTTGATGTGCGTTAACTTGTTTAAAGTATTCACTTGATCATTTGATTCTGAATTACATTTTTGCAAAATGATAGGATGTTAGCTGTCGGTATTTTTTACTTATTAGTTTTTTAAATGTAATTGACGAGAACTATCTTGGTTTTTTATAGTTCTTTCAAAAATATCAACTAGATCTAGTCTGAGTTTCCTGTTTAAGAGTACAAAAAGCATGCAATGATGATTCTGAACCACTTATCCAAATGTCTAGTCTTTTAACTTGTTATCTTTTATATTTGGGTCATTTTTTACACTATTGATATAATACTATCAAAATAACCTTATTTATACGGATGAAATGAACTAAGACTTCATCTAAATAACAATACTATTAAACGGGAAAAAATAAAAACGAAGTAGGAAACAGAACTTCATGGCATATTTCACAAGAAAGAAAAATGCATATTTTTTATATCCTCTGCGAACTATATAACATTAAATTAACACCATGCTTGAATTCGTTAGTGCAACGTTGTTAGTTCTGTTAGGGGAAAAAAATTATTGAAATGATCTAGTGTGTTTGCATCAGAAATTTTTAGTCTTTTCTTTTTAACAAATACACATCAATATTTGTTGATTTTTATACATGTTGCTAGTAAAAATAATCGTAATTAAATTAAATTTATTTTTATGTATGTCTACATTTTCACTTATTCAAAATAAAATGTCAATAAAGTGACAATCTTAATAGAATAAAAGCTAATTTAT